AGAAATTATAAAACAAGAGCCTGTGTCCTAAGTATTTTAAATGGTTAACTCCTTTAACCCTCAACAACCCCATGAGGAAAGGTACTAATACCATCCCCATATATAGGAAAAAGAGACTTGTCCAAGGCGGTGCACTACTGGCCAGGACTTGAAGCCAAGCAATCCAGTGTCAAACTCCACTCCACTGCCCTGCGCGTGGGCCTGTCTGCTCCGGTGCAGAAGCTCCATTGCCTCCCAGCTGGGACACTGTCACCATTACTTACTGGCTCCAGTTTGTAGAAGGAAACTCAACTGCACAGTTTTTATGGGTAAACGGTTGGGGATGGAGGCTGGGACATAAGAGGGGGACTCCACATCTGCCTCCTAAAGGGTGGAGGGCCTTGTCCTGATAGGAGCCTGCCTGGTGCAGAAGCCCACGCTTCCCAAAGCTGCTTAGGATGGATGAGAGGATGCTGGGAGGGAAGCACAGTGGATCCGAGGCAAGCTGGGCCTGGAGTCCAGCTCCCCTGCCTCCTGGGACTGGGTTCTCCCTTCAATAGCTGGCTGCCCTTTTGGTCATGTTTGGTCAATGGTTTCTGACACTGTTACATAYGCTCTAAAACCTTGATCCCTCTAGCAAAGGTTCAGAAAATCAGAGCCTCACTGAAGCACTCAACTCAGAAAGCCGGATAAAAAAGCAATAAAAAGAATCAAGGRAAAAGAAGAAGAAGGAATCGATAAAGAAAAAGCAGAAAATAATGAATTAGGAAACAGAAAAGCAGACCCAACAATAAGCACAACCAAGAATGGCTATTTGAAAAGACCAATAAAATAGACCAACTAGGCCAAGATTTTGTTTTTAAAGACACAAACATCAAGATAAGGAATGAGGAGAAGATATGACCAGAGATACAAAAGAGATGATATGAAGAAGAAGAAGAAGAAGAAGAGGAGGAGGAGGAGGAGGAGGAAGAAAATAATACACTTCACACTAATAAATGTGGAACTCTCAACAAAATGTGTAACTTTTTGGAAAACATAAATTACCCAAAGTAACCTAATAACAGGTAGAAAATGCCAGCAGCTCAATAACCTTGGAAGAAATAGAAAAAAAAAATGTCCTTTTAAAAAGTAAGACCTTAATCCAGGTGTGGTGGTGCACTCCTATAATTTCAGCAGCTGGGGAGGCTGAGGCAGGAGGATTGCAAGTTCAAAGCCTTAACAACTTAGCGAGGCCCTAAGTAACTCAGTGAGATCCTGTATCTAAACAAAATTTAAAAAGAGTTGGGGATGTGACTCAGTTGTTGAGTGTCCCTGGGTTCAATCCCTAGTACAAAAAATAAAATGCTAGGGCTTCATCCATTTTGCTTGTTTTTTTTAAATTTTTTTTTGTACTTGTAGATAGACAGAATGCCTCTATTTTATTTGTTTATTTTTATGTGGTGCTGAGGATCAAAACCAGTGCCTCACGCATGCTAGGCAAGTGCTCTCCACTGAGCTACAGCCCCAGACCCCGTTTTGCTTTTTAAGGGGCAAATTTTAGTTAGTTTTTATTTTGGAAAGTTCTTTTAAATCCTCAAGGTACATATCCTTCTGTTATTAAACTTTCCCCAGATATAAAAAACCAMCACCTCTGAATCCATTTCACTAAGCTAACATCATGCTGATATAAAAACTTAAGAAAGGTAGCACAAACAATAAAAAGTGAAGGCCAGTTTCACTATGTACTAATACAGTCACAAGTTACTTGGGCTCTTCATTCTTGCTACTATTAACTTATTACACTGATTGAGTGTAATCACTGATAGAGCGATATTAGAAACACAACAGAAAGCCACAAYCAAATGAGGTTTATTCCAGGTATGCAAGGATGGTTCAATATTAAAATATTGGTCAGGCTCTCAGGTTAATATATCAGTCTCCAAATCCCACCCTTGAGCGTCTGATCCTGTGTGGAGCCTTTCTAAGTCCTTCAAGTCTTCCAAAGATGCCCTTGCTCCCCACCCTGTCCCCAGTGCAAGAGAGGCATGGAGCCGGGGAACCCACAAGATGGAGGTGAAGATACTGGTGATTACCAAACAGCTCTTATTATGTACACTCTTCCTCTTTTACATGCATTAATTCCTAGGGACTCTATGAGGTGTCAACAATTATCATACGCACCTTACAAAAGAGAAAAAACTGAAGAATGAAGAGTTTGACATGTATGAAGACACGAATT